TAGACACCAGTACAGGCTGGGGATCGACCTTCTGGGGGGCAGCTCTGCAGAGAAAGACCTGGGCATCATGGTGGACGACAAGTTGACCATGAGGCTGCAGTGTGCCCTCGTGGCCAAGAAGGCCAAGGGAATCCTGGGGTGCATTAAGAAGAGCATCTCCAGCAGGTCGAGGGAGGTGATCCTGCCCCTCTACTCAGCCCTGGTGAGACCACATCTGGAGTATTGTGTCCAGTTCTGGGCTCCACAGTACAAGAGGGATGTGGAACTGCTGGAGACAGTTCAACGCAGGGCCACACGGATGATCAGGGGCCTGGAACCTCTGCTCAATGAGGAGAGAGTGAGGGAGCTGGGCCTGTTCAGCCTGGAGAAGAGAAGGCTGAGACGGGATCTAAGCAGTGTCTATAAGTACCTCAGGGGAGGGAGTGAGGAGGATGGTGCTGGCCTCTTTTCAGTGGGGCCACTGACAGAACTAGAGGTAATGGCCACAAACAGAAGCACCAAAAATTCCACAGGAACTTAAGGAAATTTTTTTTAACAGTGAGGGTGACAGAGCACTGGAAGAGGCTTTCCAGAGAGGTTGTGGAGTCTCCTTCTCTGGAGATCTTCAAAACCCGCTTGGACGCAGTCCTGTGCCACGTGCTCTAGGTGACCCTGCGTGTGCAGGGGGGTTGGACTAGATGACCTCTAGAGATCCCTTCTAACCTTAAGCGTTCTATGATTCTATGATCTGGTTATAAGGGATGGCACAGCACAGCAGTGCGTTCTGCAAGAGCGTCATGCATCTCTGGGTACAGAAACACAAACTTTTCGGGAGTTCTCTATCATGTTCTAACAGTTGATTGTCCTCTAATATCAGGTTTCTTGGTTCAGTTGGAGGGGTAGGTAGCAGTCACATAGGCCTTCTCATAAGGATTTAATACAGTGATAGTGTGTGATTTTGGTCTGCCGTATTTCAAATATGCTGCAATGAAATGGGGCCTCTAGACACTTGAGCTTAGTTTCAGCACAAGTTTCTGCAATGCAGGTTTTCAAGGCTGCGTTCTTTCAGTCCCTACTCTCCCCTGGTTCGGGATGAGGGACACAGTGCAATTGCTGTTCAACATATAAAACTTTGCATACATCACAAATGATGAGTCCCATAAAATGAGTGCCTCAGTCAGTATGAATGGCCAAAGGTCATCCAAACCAGTGCATAAATACTTTCAGCAGCTTTTTAGCTACTGTGGTAGATTCGTCTCGTTTAGAAAGGTGAGCTTCTAGCCAACTGCGGAACGTCTCAATTATTACCAGAGCATATTCCAGATTACAAACCTGTCAACAAATTGGACAGGATTCATTAAAGGAACATCTTTACGATACAACCAGCTTTAAGATGCAGCCACGGAGAGGTAAATAAACCAGCTAGAAGGTTACAGTGCTGAGGTTCACCATCAGATGCAGTAGGTAAAAGAGAAGCAGAATTAAGGGCAGAATGTCATTCTAGGGTCATTCTAGAGTAAATAAAAGAGCTTTCCTTCACAACAACAAGGCAGGAACTGAACACAAAACCGAGACAAAAAAGGGGTGGCCAAGAGTGACATGCTTATCCTTGCCGACTGAGAGCTGCTGCTGCAGTTGAGGGTAGATTGGAAGGAGGCAAACCAGCAGTAACATAATCAAGCATGGAGTAGGATCTAGCATGGACTTGCAATAGTTGGAAGACGTTGCAGCTCCACGGAGCTGGCCCAGAAATTTTCTTTGCTTACTTGTCTGCAGTGTGCCAAGGTTGGGGTCTTTAGCAAACAGAAAGCAACAAGCCTCCTGCTGGAGCCAGACCCAGGGGAGGGGAGGAGGTAGCTGACAGTTGAGGATAAAAGCCCCACAACATGCCCCTGCATTTGACTTATGCCAGTCGTCACCAGTGTGGCTTGTGAGCAGTTTGGTCTGTACTCGTGCTCCCTTTGGCAGCCTGCTTATGGTTTCAGAGTTGTCCTTGAATCAATCCATTCATTCCACGTTCATAACGTATTTGTCGATGGAAGCATCCCAATAATTCCAGAGCACCATAGCTCCTGATTTTTCTAGTACTTCCCTTAAGCACTCCATTTTATTCATATCAAAGGTCCCTTCTCCTGAGAATGGTTCAGAAAGTCTGAGGAAAATAATGAGTATACTCAAAATAAGCCAGTGTACCTATTGATGGAATAGGATTGATTTAGATGGCTGGGTAACCCATCTCATTTTTAATAAATACTATGAGGTATGTATACCAAAGCTACCTGAGAGCTGTAAGTCTCTGTGGTCCCTGCTCTTTTGCCACAGTAATGCCTAGGTAAAGGATGTTCAGACCTTGCCCTCCTCTTAGTGGTCCTATTCTTTAGTCCTTAATAATGCTGAGGTAAAGGATGTCCGGACCTTGCCCTCCTCTTAGTGGTCCCTACTCTTAACCCTAAATAAGGCCAAAGCAAAGGATGTCCGGACCTTGCCCTCCTCTTAGTGGTTCCTACTCTTAACCCTTAATAAGGCCAAAGCAAAGGATGTCCGAACCTTGCCCTCCTCTTAGTGGTTCCTTATCTCCAGCTGAGGTACTGGAATGGCAGGCCAGATTGGGTCTAACACCAACATCTACCCTCATGCTGCCCTTAGGTAATGAGGAGTGCAGAAGCCTGTGGCCAGGTACATATGGAGAGGACCAGGAGATGGGAACACCCAGGTTATGAAATGCCGTGGCAGAGCTGGGGTCCCTGGCAGCAATAAAAAGGAGAGGGAGGTGGCACACAGACAGACCCTGTGAGGAGCACGTCTCGGACACCAGCAACCACCTCCCAGCTGCAGACACCATGCAGGTGACCCCTGTCCTCCTGGCGCTCACCCTGGCACTGGCCGTTCCCAGCTGCTCTGCACAACAACCGGTAAAGGCAGCCGCAACCTAGGCTGGCTCCAGGCACGGCCAGCAGTGCCGTGGGGCTGGGTGCTGAGTGCCCCGTGCTCATTCTCTCTTTGCAGTGTAACCTAACAGGAAACTGGACCAACGACCTGGGCTCCAATATGACCATCAATGAACTGAACAGCAAAGGCGAGTTCAATGGCAGCTACCACACTGCCGTGAAAGCCACCAACAATGAAATCAAGGTCTCCCCACTGCAGGGCTACCAGCACGTCAAGGACCAGTGCAAAAATGCCACCTTCGGTTTCACTGTCAACTGGAATTTCTCAGGTGCTTCTCCTTTCGCCAGCATCCCTCTGGTGTCTCTGCCCTTCCCTCTGATGTCTCCAGTGGCCCCTTGCCCTCCCCGGAGATGGTCTTCATGGTGCCTTTCTGTCCACTGTGGTGCCCTGTCCTCCCCTGTGATGTCCTCTGTTCTCCCTTGCCCTTCCCTATGACACCCCTGACAGTGCCCTGTTCTCCCCTGCAATATCCCTGACAATCCTCTGCCCTCCCTTGTGAGGTCCCTATTGGTGTTGTCCCCTCTGATACAACATCCTTGGTGGGACACCGGAGGTCCCTGCCCTCCCATGTGCTGTTCCCAGCTGTGTCCTGCCCTCCCCTGCGCTGTTCCTGTTGGTCCCCTCACCACCCCACGACATCCTTCTGACAGCGGCTGAAGGGAATGGCTGGCCAGGTGTCCTGAGCTCACTCCATGCTCCACATGCCCCCTGAGGTCCCTAGAAATAAGCCTCTGACTCCAGAGACCAGGCACATGGGGACGCCTGAGGCAGAGGGCAGGTTTCAGACCATGGTCTTCCCCTGCTGTCCTGCGGGTGTTTTACGCCTCCACTCTGTGCTTTCTCCTGCCTCTGCAGACTCCATCACCGTCTTCACTGGCCAGTGCTTCGTGAACAACAGCAAGGAAGTTTTGAAGACCATGTGGCTCCTGCGAAGCCACGTCAACAGCCTCGAGGATGACTGGAAAGCCACCAGGTGAGTCGCAAGCAGTGCAGGGAACATGGCCCCTGGCGCATGGTTCTGGGCATGGAGCCAGGGAATAACGGGGACAACATACCTTGTGCTTAACAGCCTTTAATCCTGCCCAGTGGCAGAGCAAAGAGCGCAGCTGGGAGCCGAGCGGCGGGGAGGTGCAGCGCTCCAGAGCAGGAGGTGGCACCCAGCTCCTGGTGCTGCAGACA